TTCTTCTTCTTCTTCTTCTTCTTCTTCTTCTTCTTCTTCTTCTTCTTCTTCTTCTTCTTCTTCTTCTTCTTCTTCTTCTTCTTCTTCTTCTTCTTCTTCTTCCCTTGCTGTTATTCTAATAGCTGTAGAAAGGGCAACTGATAAGGTTGCCGAGTCCCCCTGGCCACTTGCGGAGGATGGGTGATTAGGGTTGCCAGATCTAGGTTGGGAAACTCCCAGAGATTTGGGGGTGGAGCCAGGGGAGGACAGGGACCTCAGTGGGGTACAATATCTTCGAGTCCACCTTTCAAAGCATCCATTTTCTCCAAGGGAATTTGTCTCTGTAGTCTGGAGATGAGCTGTAATTCTAGGGGATCCCCTGTCCCACCTGGAGGCTGGCATCTCTAGCAACCAGGAGGGAAGGCAACATGCTATAGCCTGATCTCATCAGATCTCGGAAGCCAAGCTGGGTTCGTACTTGGAAGGGAGACCACCAAGGAAGGCCCTGCAGAGAAAAGCAATGGCAAACCACCTCTGCTTCTCACTTGCCTTGAAAGACCTTGCTGGGATCAACATAAATTGGTTGTGACTTACTAATAGCCTCTGCATACTCAGAAAGGGTAACCAGCGATTGCCACTGTTCTCTGTGTTGCTGCAGGCTGTGGTCCTGGCCCCCGTGGATCTTGTCAAAGTCCGGCTGCAGAACCAGACCCACCCTTACAGCCGTGGCACCCTGCCGGCAGAGGCCCAGCCGCTGTACAGGGGCCCGGTGCACTGTGCTGCCAACATCCTGCAGAAAGAGGGCGTCCTGGGCCTGTTCCGAGGCTCCTTGGCATTGATGCTGCGTGACACGCCCACCATGGCGATGTACTTCATGACTTATGTGGGTCTCTGCAGAGGGATGACTGTGGAAGGGCAGGAGCCAGGTGAGGTTCCAGGCGGGCCTTAAGGGGGAAGGCACTGGGCTGGGGCAAGTCTGGTCTCCCCCCCCCCCGGCTTCTGCTGTTGAATACCAGCAGATCGAAACTTCAGCTCACTAGGGAAGGAAGATTGATAGGAAGGAGTCAGCCTGGCTCCCCTGAGATCAGGATGGGCAAAAAGGGGGATGTAGAGAATGCATCATTGGGACATTAAGAACACAAGAGAAGTCAATGTTGGATCAGGCCAATGGTCTACCCAGTCCAGCACTCTGTCACACAGTGGCCAAAAGCCAGGTGCCATCAGGACGTCCATCAGTGGGGCCAGAACTTCAGAAGCCCTCCCACCGTGGCCCCCCAAGCACCAGTTACTGCCAGTTTGGACCCCATCAACGTGTATTTATAGTTGAGATTTTTGGCTCTAGTGTGCATTACTTTGCACTTGCCTATGCTGAACCTCATTCGCCATGTTGACGCCCAGTTGTCCAGCCTCAACAACTCCCTCTGGAGCACCTCACAGTCCTCCCTGGTTTTCACCGCCCTGAACAGCTTAGTGTCACCTGCGGACTTAGCAACTTCACTACTTACTCCCAACTCCAAATGGTTAACGAACAAGTTAAAAAGCACTGGACCTAGTATTGAGCCCTGCAGTACCACACTGCTTACCACCTTCCACTGTGAAAACTGCCCATTTATACTCACTCTCTCCTTCCTGTTAATTAACCAGTTTTTAATCCACAAAGGGACTTGTCCTCTTATCTCAAGACTGCTGAGTTTACTTAGGAACCTTTGATGAGGAACTTTATCAAAAGCTTTCTGGAAGTCAAGGTAAACAACATCTATTGGCAGGGGTCATTTCGTAGAAAAAAAGGTGCAGGAGCTCATTAGCATAACCCATTAGCATAACTTATTTGCATATGCCTCACCCTCTGACATCACCGGAAGTGTGTCAGAAGGCAACACCCACCGCTCAGGCTCCACTGGACTGTTTTGGATTGCTGTCCGGGGGGGGGGTGATGTGTAGATCTGTCCTCGCTGAGGAGGGAGAGCTTGTACCTGAATAAAACTTGGTCTTAAAGGTGCCACTGGACTGTTTTGGACCAGGGGGCTGGGGGGAGCTCTGCAACTTACCTGGCTGCTTCTTGCTCTGACTGAGGGCTGCTGGGAGTAGGGGACGGGGCTTGTTGCGTGTGCCCGCCCCCTGGGCTCTTTACTGCCGGCGCTCTGCTCCTGTGCGCTCCTGCAGGAAATGACCCCTGTCTATTGGGTCCCCCTTGTCCACATGCTTGTTCACCCCCTCAAAGAACTCAAACAGGTTAGTGAGACAAGATCTTCCCTTCCAGAATCCATACTGATTCTTCCTCAATAGCTTTTGTTCATCAATGTGCCCTCTAATTCAGCCTTTAATAACAGATTCCACCGACTTACCCAATATCATCATCATACTGACTGGCCTGTAATTTCCCGGATCTTCTCTAGAACCTTTTTTTTAAAGATGGGGGTTATATTAGCTACCTTCCAGTCCTCAGTAATGGAGGCAGATCTTAGTGATAGCTTGTATATTTTTGGCAGGAGATCCACAAGTTCACATTTGGGTTCTTTCAGAACTCTTGAATGTATGCCATCTGGGCCTGGTGGTTCTCCCATGTGCTGCCAATTCCAGGTTCAGAAATACCTGAAGATTTTAGGGTGGGGACTGGGAGGGTGGGGCTCAGGGAGGGGAGGGAACTCAGTGGGGTATAATGACATCCTGCCCCCCCTTCCAAAGCAGCCATTTTATCCAGGAGAAGTGAAATAATTCTGTTAGATAAACAATAAACAAACAAGCAAATCGTAAACAAACAAACAATCTATGTAGTCTGGAGAACAACCGTAATTCCAGGAGATCTCCAGCCCACACCCGGAAGCTGGGAACCCTATAACTTCTCCCTCCCCCCCTCCCTGCAAAGGAGGAGGGGTGCGTTCTCGCTCGCATCTGGGATCAAGTCTTCCAGGCCGGGCTGGGTTCCATTTTACAAAGTCGGTGTGGGTTCCAGAGGAAGACAATTCCACCCCTCCCCGAGTACAAGAACAATTTTTAGTAATGACGCATGGTTCAGAAAGGCTCCCTGAAAAAGAGAACCGCAGAAAACCACAAAGACTTTGAATACGTAATAGTAACTTGGAATTGCAGTATACGTTCAACCAGTGGGTAGCAATTGCTTGTTCCATGGCAAAGTTTTCCGCGTAAGCATCACAAACAAAATCCAACAGCTCGCTCTGCAGGTATCTTTTCAGAGTATGCCAAAGAAACGTAAGGCAGCTGAGATGCGGAGGTATTCCTGTTCTTGCATGTTTATATGCTCCCTGTGTCCCCAGGCAATCCTTCTGAAGGCAGGGTTAGGAAGGTTTGGTTTCCAGATGAGAGAGCCCTGGAAAATCAGGTCACATGCAAGCTGTTTGTCCCAGCTTTTGGTGCAAACATTAGTGGGGAGCAGGTTTTTCTCCTGTTACTTCCGTGCATCTCCCCGTCCCCCTCCAAGTCATTCCTGCAATCTTTCCCAAGCCTGCTCTGCTGAGGGTCTTTCTCTGGATCTTCTCAGGCCCGCTCACACCATTTCCCTTGCCCCAGTCTCCCACAGTGGGGGGCTTTCCCCCTTACTTTTAAACCAGTAATTGACATACCATTATATCATTAAAATATTATAGCATTCTGTCTATCAGGTCCTCTGCTTTCTTTTTTCTTTTTTTAAAGTTAGTTGCCAGCCTTTTTCATTTTGGAAATATAAGGTGAAAGGCTTACCTCAGGAACAAAATGGCCAGTAGAGACTTTGTTAAAGATGAAAGCTGGGACTTCAAAAAAAAACCCCCTGACAGATTGTTATAACCCTAAAATAATACTACAATTGCAAATTAAAAAAAAAACTTTAAAAGCCCCCCTCCCCAATAGTACAGGGGGGAAATGACTGCTAGAGGGGACTTTGGCAGGGATTCTGCCACATAGAAGCCCCATGGCTGCTGCGCTGTATCAACAGGCACAGCAGCAACAGGGAAAACCACGCAAGCCCATCACAGTGTGGAGAACACCTTATTTTTTAAAGACTTCTCCGTATTTGCCAATATACCTACAGAGTGGATGTGCTGTTCCTTTCCCTTCTACCAAAGTCCACATTGCTGTTTTTCTACGCATGCTTAAAAGCCTTCCCCTTCCCCTTTGCTGGTGGGGCCATCTTCTCCAACCTCTTGTTCAAAAAGGGAGCTAGCTATCAGAAGAGATATTGAAGAGGAGAAGGTTGGATTTATACCCCATCCTTCACTACCTGAAGGAGCCTCAAAGTGACTTACCATCTCCTTTCCCCTCCCCACAACAGACCCCCTGTGAGGTAGGTGGGGCTGAGAGAGCTCTTTTGAGAACTGCTTGTGAGAGAACAACTCTGAAAGAACTTGTAACTGACCCAAGGTCACACCAGCAGCGGCATGTGGAGGAGTGGGGAATCAAGCCCAGTTCTCCCAGATTAGAGTCTGCGCTCCTAACCACTACACCAAACTGGCTCTCCAGCCATCTCCTGACAACTAGCTCCCACTAAGGAAGTCAACAGCCATTAAAAAAACCATTGACGTTCTTTTGTTGAAGGTCCTGACTCTCCTAAGGCATTGCTTTAGATCAGAGGTCTTCCCACAGCAACACCACGTCTTTTAGAGGCATCTACTCTCGTCTTCCTCGTTATCAAGAGTTCATTTTCTCCCCCTTCCCCAACTATTTGTCTCTCCCACTCCAGGCCCAGTAACAGTTCTCGTGGCCGGCGGCTTTGCTGGAAGTGTTTCGTGGGCCTTGGCCACCCCCATGGACGTGGTGAAGGCCCGCTTGCAAATGGATGGGATGAAGGGGAAGGAGTATCGTGGGATCCTCCACTGCATTCTCACCAGTGTCCGGCAGGAGGGTCCGCAGGTGTTCCTGAAGAGCCTTGCCCTGAACAGTTTCCGTGCTTTCCCTGTGAATGCGGTCACCTTCTTGAGTTACGAGTGCATCCTCAAAATTGCCTGTTGAACTCTGCGGCCACTGTGACTCAACTCTACTTTACCTCAAGGAGTAGCACCCCCAGATGGGCTTGTGCTCCAACTTCTTGCTGCACAGAGACCTGTGGGGAAGATCATAAGAGCCTCACTGCTGGTCCAGTGGTCCATCAAGTCCAGCATCCTTCCTGTCTCACACATTGGCCAACCAGATACTCTGGAGGGAAAATGGGGCCCAGAGTCTGAGGCCTTCCCCTAATGTTTCCTCCTAGCACTGGCGTTCAAGAGCTCACTGCCTCTACATCTGGAGGTTCCCTTTACAGCCACTGATGGACCTCACCTCCACGAATCTATCTAACCCCCCTTTAAAGCCATTCTCATGGCCATAATGACGTTCATCGGCAGTGGATCCCACAACTGAATTAACTCATTGAATGAAGACGTATTTATTTTGTTCTGCCCACAAGTAGTTGGCTGTCAACTTCATTGGGTGTCTGTGACTTTTAGTATTATGGGAGTGGGAGAAAAAATTCTCTCTATTCACTTCCTTCCTGCATGATTCTACAAACTTCTATCATGGCCCCCTCCCTGGTCATCTTTTTCTAACTGGCTAGATTCGAGTCCAGGAGCACCTTAGAGATCAAAAAGATTTTGGGGATCTGCGTTTTCAAGAGTCAGAGCTCCCTGCATATCTGGCAAAGGGAGATCTGACTCTCAAAAACTTATATCGTCTAAATCTTGCTGGTCTCTAAGAATCTAGCTGTTCTACTGCAGACCGAACCGGCTTGTTCTAACTTGTTCTAACCAGACTCTTTAGCCTTTCTTCATAGGAAAATTGCTCGAACCCTTTAATCGTCTTGGTTGCTGCCTTCTGCGCTTCCCCCCTACCCTGCAATATCTTTCTTGAAATATTTATTTATTTATCATATGGCAGAGTTACACACAGGAAGCCCATAATAACCTAAAATATGGACCCAAGCTGATACAATAGGTATGCAGACCAATTGGGCAATCCCCCCAAATACTAATATCTAAATTTGCAATCCACTCAGTCGCAGCTCAGGAGAGTTCAAAGAGCTCCATCACATCTCCCTGGAAAGCATGATGCTCACATTCCAGTGATAGGTGAAAAATAGTTTGGCGGGCTGCACCACAATCGCATTTGGGTCCTGGTGTTTTGCCCCATTTAAACAACAGGTCTGCACAGCTGCCAAAGCCTGTTCGTATTCTGTTAGCCGTCTTCCATACTTTACGGGGCAAGTCAAATCCTGCGGGCCTCTCGTTGGTGTTTATCAGGTTATGAATATTGGGTGGAACTGATTGCATCCATGTTCACAACCATTCATTCCCTAGATTGAAATCTGTGATTGCAGGATTTGTGTGGCTCTTATTGCTGGGTGTTGGGAACTTAATCTGAATAGGCCCGTGTCAGCCATGTCTTTGTGCATAGGCAACTGTCTGTTTTCAGTGATCTTTCTGTATTCACAAAGAAGAGCATCTTGACTTTGGAGATGTGGGGGAGCGATGTGGAACAACGTGGGTAGCCAATAGGCTGGAGTGGGTTTAATACATCTGCTGATGGTTCTCATTGTTGTATTGAGTTGGACATCCAAGTTTGTGGATGTGGGGGCTGTTGAGCTACACTCACCATATTCCGCAGTACTATACACCAACCTCAAAGCTGAGCATCTAAGTGTTGTAGCAGACGTACCCCAAGTTGTGCCACATAATTTTTTGGAGAATGTTGTTTTTGCATGCATATTTTCACTGCTACAATGGTAAGAAGGTGTTTATAGCTCAAGGTCCTGTCGAGGATGATGCCAAGGTACTTAGGTGTATGATTGTGTATAATTTGGGTGCCATTAAGGTAGACACTCAGTTCATGGTTGGCAATATTGTTATTGAGATGGAAACAGGGACATTCTGTTTTTCCTGGGCTTGGGATAAGCCACCATTTACAGTAGTAGCCAGCCAAAATTGTGAGGTCCCTAGTCAGTATTTCCTCAGTCCTTTCAATTGATTTGTGCCTTACTGCAATCACCATGTCGTTGGCATAAGCAGACTTCCTGGATATCATCTTGGGAACATCAGAGATGTATAGATTGAAAAGAACTGGAGCAAGGACCAAGCCCTGGGGTAGACTGTTATTCAGTTTCTTCTGTTTGCTGATTGACTGACCCGTAATTACTTGGGAAGTTCGATCGCTTAGCATGTTATTTAGGAATCAAAATAATGTTCTGCAGGGGAAAACTTGTAAAAACATGTACAGCAAACCAACCCATCAGACTGTGTCCTAAGCATCAGTCAGATCAACGAAACCTGCTGATGTCTTTAAAGACTTCTGATACCCTGCCTCACTGAAAGTTGTTAAGCTGAGAACCTGGTCTTCACAGCTACAACGGGGTCTAAATCCTGCTTGTTCTATAGGGATATGTTCACTAATTCTGTCACTGATTTTGTTCAAGAGTAGCCTCTCAAGGAGTTTATAACAGGAGCTTAGAAGGGAAATAAGTCTGTAACTTTCCTCCAGATGTTTCAGGATAGCAACTATCTTTGCTTTCTTGAATCCCCCTGAGGAGTCTTCCTGTTCTCATGATGTAAATGAGAAACTTTGCAAGCCACTTCTTAGTGAACATGCCTGCGTTGACCAGTAACTCATTATGGATGCAGTCAAAGCCTGGTGCCCTTCTGCAGTCCCTTCAGTGGAGTGGAAGTTTCATGCCTCCCCCCACCACTGCAGCCCACAAGTCTCTACAAAATGCTGCTCCTGGGGGACCAGACATTAAGGAATAACATGGGGGGGGGTTGCAGTGGAGAAGGGGAATCAGATGCAATGACCAATTTAGCCGGGATCCAATCCCTAAGGTAGTGTGAACCTACAGGGTTTTGCCATGATGAAGTGGGGTCTTTAAAGATACCAGGTTTGTCCTGGTAGAACAAGATGATTTCCATTTGACAAACATACTCAATTCCCACATACCGTATCCAAGACAGGAGAAGGCTGTCATCGGTATTGGAAGTGAAGGACGTTGCAATGCCTAGTCTCAGACTTCAGAGGGGGACTATAGAGCCAGAGAGATAAAAATAGGTAGGTCAGAGCCCTGTGTACCTTCCTTTCTGCTGCTCTGCTGCTGTCTCTTTGATGTGTAGATTGCTAGTCTCAGGAAATCTTCCTTCCTTCCGGCCAACACCTTCCCTGTTTCTCTTCTCCATCTGACAACCACAACAGCAGGACATGCTTTCTTGCATCTCCATCCATCCTAGCTCAGCTGGTTTGTTTAGAATACTATCCCTGCTCGATCCTGTCTAGAATGGAGTTCCTGATAATAAAGGACTCGTAGTAGTTTACTACAGCACAGAAAGCTCTGTGTGAACTTCAGGGGTCGTTTCGTAGAAAAAGAGCTAGGGGAACTCATTAACATAACTCAATAGCATATGCCACACCCCCTGACATCACTGGAAGTGTGTTATAAGGCCACACCCCCTGACATCACCGGAAGTGTGTCATAAGGCCACATACCCCGCCCCCAACAGTCCCGGCCGCCGCCGGCCTTGCAGCTCCACTGCAGAGCCCCATGAGGGGCCCAGCGGTGGACCTGCAAGGCCGGCGGGAGTGCAAGGAAGCCCCGTAAAGGCCCTCCCTGGCCCCAGGCAGGCAGGGGTGGGGAGAGGCAGGGGGGAAGCAACTTACCCTCCCTCTTCTCCTGCTTCCTCCTGGCTGAATGAGAACCGGAAGTGGGGCGGCTGGAAGAAGGGGGTGGGGCTTCGTCGTGTGCCCCGCCCCCCGTACCTCACCCGGGGGAACTGCGATCCCCCGCGATCCCCCCCGAAATGACCTCTGGTGAACTTAATCTCTGAAGCAGCAATGTAAATTCCATGGTGCTATCTGCACACTGCATTTTCATAACTAGCACCCCTCTGGAGCTTGTTTGACATAGCAGCTAAGAATATGAATTGTGGTCTGGGAGGTCTTGAGTTCAAATGTTGCTTCTGCCACCAACTCAGTAAGTTGCCTTAACCAAGCTGCTCATTCTCAGCCCTTCCGCTGCCAGAATTCTAGCCTTCCTTACAACGTTGTTGTAAGCTTAGCAACAGGAGGATGGGTGTCAAATACTCTGGACACTGGAAGTGCTATATACTTCATAAGTAGTGTTATCATTGGCTGTTCTGGCAACTATTCCTTTGTTGCTCATTCCAATATTGCACACAGACCGGACAAGGCTTAACTTAAATAGTACAGGCAGAAAATTCTGGTATTGCCGCAGAGCTCTTCACCGCCCTGCGGCAATGGCCTTGAGGGGAGGTGTGAGCAAAGTGCGGGTGGGGGGGAGAAAGAAGTTTATTTGAGGACCAAACAAATTAAACTAAGCAAGGATTTGGCACTTTTCTCCAGGGAGATGAGAGGTGCATCCTCTGGACTGGAAAATATTGCACAGCCTGTGCCAATGAAATCCAAAGGCAGTGCGCCCAGAGAGCATGCATGTTTCCCCAAATATATGTGCTTTGCATAATTGATTCGGATTGCAATACTTAGGTCTTTATAGAAGGTGGAAAAATGAGGCATTAACAAAGATAAGGAGGAGGAGATTAGGAGGCAGAGGGATGAATCCGTGTGGTGGGTAGGCTGGGCTGCACAGCACACAGACGTCTCTCCTACCCCTGGAGTAGAAACCAGAATATGCCTTGCTTACTGCAATACAACTCTCACTTTAGGCACGGTCAATGAAAAAAGGAGATTCTCCAAACCAATTGCATGGGATTCTCCCCCCCCCCCCCAAAAGCTCTAGCTCCCCACTTTTTGTTCCAATGTGCATCTTGCTGTACTTCCTGGCCTGAACCTCACTTGCTGTTTTGCTGCCCAGCCGCCCACGTTTAAGGAGATCTTTTTAGGATTCTCTATAGACTGCTTCGAATATGTGTGTGTGTATAAAGTGTCGTCAAGTCACAGCCGACTTATGGTGAAAGCTTTCATGTGCATGCACACTGAAGCTTATACCTGGAATTAAACTTTGTTGGTTTTAAAGGTGCCCATAG